AGAACTGCTCACTGTGGCTTTGAAGAATTTTTCCATCGTTTACTCAGCTGCTGTGCAAAGGAGGAGTCAACTCTTTGAAGGGAGGTATGAATTACCTACTCTAGAGTACTTAATTCTTAGTTCAACGAACAGTGATCAATCTCATAAATCCAGTAAGCAAACAAATCGTTAACAGAGAAAAAACATCAGAGGTGGGATCAGGTGCGTAGGAGGAGTAAGCATCCCTGTCGACTGGTCACACTTGCCGTGAGCTCTATGTATTGATCAGGTAGACGGAGTAATCCCTAATCATATTTATCATAAAAGAAATGACCTAAAAATGGTATGAAACACGTCCGACAAAATTCGACCCAACGAAAGGTTGTATGTATAAACAAGGTCGTTATAACGACGGTAGAATTTGCGAAAATCTAATATTAAAGGGGGTTTTGAAATCCTTTGAACTTCAACTTCTTTGTGAATAGCTTGCCTCGGTTTTATAATTGATCATATTCAGAGCAAGCTCCTGAATATCAAATCGGTTGTAAGACATAAACACCAAATACAGGTGAAGTTCGAATATTACTACATAAATAAGGAAGTTACTATGAATAAGCTGAAGTCATCTTGCACATTTTAGTTATTAGTTTGGCTATCTTGTTTTTAATCAGTAAAACACCCAAATATGAAACAGATGTGGTAGTGTCTTTTATTTCGATTTGAGAGTTTTTGTGACGTCATCTTTGTTAAACCTGGTCAAGTTAATTTTTTTTGTCCTACACTCAGATAAACAGCATTGAAAAGGTTTTGATTAATTAATCAAGTAATTTATTATGAACAATGTAGAAAATAAGCAGCGCAAATTTTAAAAAAATAGTCCTATTGTATTTGAATTAGCACAGATAATCCACGATGAACTGAATGTCTTGCTACAGGAAATGTTGTAGAGGAATACGGGGCACCGATCTTAAATCCATAAATTCACCGTTCATTACTCTTCATTTCACATAGTTTGTTACATGGAACATTCAGTGAATCTTGGGGACACTAAAGAAGAATCAGATGCATGTGTTTCCTAAACACATCTTTGGGCTTTTCTGCTTAGTTGAACATCCATTTCGCTTCCTTTAACTATTCCACTCAACAAATTTAACTGATTCTGTGATGTAAACTTGTATTTTTGTTAGGTGATACTAGTAGGTGGCTATTTGCCCTTCCAGTCCCGCGTTGTTTGAGCGAGTGTCTGTCGTTGCTTCAAGATGTGGCTGGAGAAAAATCCTTCAAAACCTGCACACGATCGAGAATCTGTTAGTTGCAAATTAAAGATAAATAACACAAATTAACTTTTTACACAAATCAGCAATATTTCTCATAGATTTATATCTAAATAGGATATCCGAATAATGTTTGCCGGGTAAAGTGGGAAGTTTTGTACAATTTTGTCACAATGTTAAAAATGTGTGCAAAATTTTGAATAGAATTACATGGAAAATGACACAAAGTCACATATCTAAGTATCAAAGAAAACTTACGATTTCCTTATATTTTAAGGATTTATTATTCATGTCATTTCTAATCAAAATCAGTCAATATATACATATATATCAATGCATCAATTTTTTTGTTTTGTTATGTATCCTTAAAACTAGATGCTGTCATAAAGCAGTAATACCCGTAGGTAGGTGTTTGCCACTAAATGTACGCTAGCTTCCTTGTACCTTGGTAGCAAAGTTATTCCGTACTAATTTACATAAAATATGTATATATATATATATATATATATATATATATATATATATATATATATATATATATATATATATATATATATATATATATATATATATATATATATAAAATTGAGAATAAAATGCACAGGTGAGCATATGCTCATGGGTCTCTCATGTTAGTATTTCAAATAATGAATTCCAGTCTAAAACTGAAGGTTGTAATGAAGTCAATTCTGAATTTAAAAGAGAAAGTTTCAGAAAAAATGTTTGTCTTTAAAGAAATAAGGAAAAAGTCCGCCGAAATAACTTGAAAAATGTCATTTTTTGACCCCTATTTTGCCACAAGGGTGAAAATCAAAATTCTGAAACCTTAGTGCACATCTGCAGGGCACCTCAGATCATCTTGTAAAAAGTGATATGGCTACAGTGTAAAACGTATGAAGATTTTGGGAACCAGGTTTATGTCAGATGAAAAACGTCGTTTTCGACCCCCATCGACCCCTATGTAGCCCCCAGGTTGAAAATGAAAAACCCCAAACCTTATTGCACATCTACAGTATACCACCAATCATCTTCCAAAGGATGATTAGGTTACTGCGTAAAATGTAAAAGGAGTTCTCGGAACCAGGTTTTTGTGTAAGAAACTCATTTTTTGTCCCCCATTTGGCCCCCATGGTAAAATGGATAATTCCAAACTTTTATTTCACATCTACAGGACACAACCTATCATATTCCAAAAGATCAGTTGGTAACTCTTAAAATAAAAGAGGAGTTTGAGGAAAAAGAAAGTGTGACAGACGGACGAATCAGGGTAACAACAATATACCTGAACTTTCTTTAAAAAGGGCGGGTATTAAAAAATCAGAAATTATCTCCCAGTTTCACACTAGAAACCCCCCCCCCTCCCCCAAAGCTTGAGTGGTCGGAGTAAAATCCTTCAAATCCCATTGCTTTGCACAATTGAGAAATTGTTTCTTGCAAACTCCTAATATAAAAATATCTCCGAATTTCACAGTAGCAAACTTCAAGTGTTTAGCTTGCATTTTGGTGTTCTTCATTAACATGACGTTGTCAAGAATACTGATTTTGATAAGGCCATTCCAAGTTTTTTCTATGTTTAGTGTCCGCGTGCGCTTTGGTTTTTGACACTCCATATCAGAAAAAAACAAACAAAATCAGGAGTCCTGAAATTGATTTTTCTTGTTGAAATCTTTGAATTCTGTCAAATTCTCTAAATATTTGTGTACAATATGTCATATTTGGTATATTTTAAGCATTTAATACATTGGTTTTGCTGAAAAATAGATCTTCCTACAAGAAAATAAATTAAGGAAAGCAAATCCCTCATTTTTATGACTATTAAGTCTGTGTTTTATTTTTAGTCTTGTGTGTTTTTTGCAATTAGGTAGGTAGGTTTTTGAAAAACGGGTGGACGCTAAACAGAGAAAAAACTTGGAATGGCCTAAAGTCATTTTAAAATGTGTGGTGTTGCGTTGTAAAATGAATACAATAGAACTAATTTTTACGCATGCGCAGTATATATAAAAAAATGGTGCAATGCGGATGAATAATTTTAAGACTAAACAAAGTTAATGTTCAACTTTATCGATACAAAACAGTGATTCAATGATTTCTATTCTTGAGAAATTACAGTGGTAAATTCAAAAACTAGTTTTCTTTGGCTTAACTTATTGGACAGTTCCTGGTAAAGTCATCCAGGCAGAAGGGGACCACTTGACCCGTAGGTGTTATTGACTTAATAATTATAAAAAAAAATGTCCGTTTTGCTTAAATTGGGGTCTTTTTCTCGAAAATAAATAAGCATTTTCTGTAGCCGAAAATCCAAGGTCAGAGCAAAGAAAAAATATCTAGCACAATTTCTATAAACCTCTACCTAATGTTCGGTTCTAGTTTCCTTCAAGGTAGACTCGAGGTTAGGGTGAAACCAGAAAAAAAGGAGGGGGGGGGGGTCTTCAAAGGAAAGTGTTTATATACTGTTTCTCAACAACAGTAAGATTTTACTTTTAAACCATCTCATATCTATTACCTCACTGGAGGTTTAAGTCGTTGAAAACATATGAGAGTTACGTTTAGGGCAACAAAAAGGTTTTCATGGACATATTCCTGAATCAGGAAAACTTTGTGGCCCTTGGGGAATCACTATACGATCGTATGATGCATTGCTGATGGTTGTAATCTTGTGCTGACTTAAATTATCATCTCATTTGAAGGTCTAATGGTGTTAAATTGGTGTAATTTGTTTATTTCAAAACCTCAGTTAAAGTGGAAGATTAATGACTCCAAAATGCTTGCAATTGACATTTATTTTTTGTTTTAAAAGGATCTAGGTTAAGATAACTGAAATTTCTATGGTTACCATCTTTTTTGCCTGATGAATGTGGTCAGAATCTACAATGCAATCCTCAAAAATCGACTCTTCGGAAAATCTAATTTTAATTAGATTGACTCTTTATCTTGTCCGTCTTAAGACAGTTACACCTAATTTGACAATATCAAGATTGTGGGATTGATTTGTTTGTTGTTTTCACCTCTCTTTCGAGAATTTTTCACTCATATGGAGAAGCCACCACTTGCCGGTGTAGGGCTGCAAATTTAGACCTATACTCGGCACTTAGGTTCATTGAGAGCAGTGAGTTATCTTTCTCGTGCTATCAGATACTGCGACACGGGACCTCGGTTTATACGGTTTCATTCGAAGGACCGGTCGTGGGATTGAAGATGCTTTAGCTGTTGTTGTTGCATTTACTCTATCTTCAGCATCAACACATCTACCAGACATCAGTAGAACATCCTGTATAAATTGTTGTCGTCAAATTGGTTTGGAACATGACATGTTTACTCGTATTTAGTAAAGTCTTTCAACTATTCGTTACAGGTCGTGACTATATCAAACGCCATCCAACAAATGGGATCAGCAGATACTCTAACACCCTAACCTTGTAGGAACTAGGTGATCATTCACAGACCAGTGGTATACGATTTGCGCTCGGTTCCAGATAGATCAGCAGTACTCTTTCTTCAGATCTGATCTTGATGTGACGGAGAATATATATATATATATATATATATATATATATATATATATATATATATATATATATATATATATATATATATATATATATATATGCAGGGTGACATGTAATGATGAGTAACAGTACACCACTATACATCATTTTTGTAGACTAAATAACGGGTCTATGCAGACTTCCAATGCATTTCCTTAGACCAATCCAGAGAGTTTGAAATGAAAACTTTTCCAAGGCAGTATCAAGTTTAAAACTTTTATTTAAAGATGGAATCCATCTGAGATGAACATGATAAATACGTTTGTTTAATGATACACAACTTTTCCAGAACTATCTCTCCTGTTTTCTTTCTATCTTCGTACTTACGTCGGTAATGCGATGAAAGATTATGCATAAAAGCTTATAGTTATCACAGTACTATTTTTGTTGCCGAAATATCACAGCAACACTTTCAATGTAGTCACACTCTCATTGGTATAACAAACAAAAACATTCTTACAACACGAGTCACGTTTCACCCTAATAAATCAAACATTGCCAAGTATACTAGTACTTTGACTAACATGAACAACATAAATTGTCATGACAAAACATGCACAAAAACACCAGATCACATTCGCTGCTTTGACCCTGTTAGGTATGGTTTGTATACTTCATAGTAGAGGTGGTCCTTTGAGGTTATCATAATATGGACACAGTGAAAATTTCCTGATTAACGGATCAGTCATACACTGTGTTCCATCCCTCCAACTCAAAGAACAACACACAGAGAATATCTTCAGAACAAACGCACGCTCGATCCAGAAGTCCTATTTCCATGAATCTGTGCCATGGACATCACTTTTTGGTCTATTTTACTCATTCCGAATGTTGCTGTGCGTGCACATTTGGATACTTTTTTCAGAGGTAATATTTTAGTACCATTCTTCCACGCACATTTCACAATGCCTTATCCTTCATGTATCTGTGTATATATCCATACAAATGTTCAAATTACTTTATCTATCACTTAATAGGAGGGAAATATTTGTGTATATATTCCAATCTTTGCTACACACGACCTACACACGTTCATCAACAAGGTTAGGGTCAAGGACACTGAATATGGCTTCCTCGTAGGCTTTGAATTCAATATAGTCTGCTTCTTTTTCTAGAAGCGTTTCCACACTCTTGCTGATTTCACTGAAGGACGGACGATTCTGTGGCATCATGTCCCAGCATCGCACCATCAGTGCGTACCTGCAAAAACACATGTATTTTACAGTCGTTTTTTAATTTTAAAACTCAATTCTGAGACAAGTAACTAAAACGACAAGGACAAAAAAACTTATTAGAACAATGGCATAATCACCCTTAACTACATGTACGTCAATATAAAAAGATCCTGTTAATATATTGAGGACTTTAACGTCAATAGACTCAAGCTAATATGACGATTTTTTCACTTACAATTCTGGTTTACAATGTAGAGGACGAGAGAGCCATTTTCCCATCATCACCGTGGAGATGACTTCTCTTGCCGCCATACCAGGATAAGGAGTGGCACCTGTGACGTAGGAGTCATGTTTAGTAAGCCTCAATTCAAGTAAAATAGACGATTTTCTATATTTAGTGTTAACTAAATGAGGAAAATTCTGTTATGCTTTTCCAATTAGTTCAGTTAGTCTTGCAGATTTTACAACTTTCTTCTTTGAATTAGAAGTTTTGCTTTTAATGCCATAATTCAGTAATCTGTACCCTCAGTAGGTAACTATTTGAGGACATTAGGAACATACACGTGATAGAGACCATCGACGCCTTACCGAGTGTGACTATCTCCCAAAGAAGAACCCCGTATGACCAAACATCACTTTTTCTGGTAAAGCACTGATCAGACAGCGACTCTGGCGCCATCCAGCGGATAGGCTGAGGACCCTAAACGATACACAGGTTTGTTTTATTTCATTTTTATTTGATTTTCATTTGAAGTACTTCGTATCTGTATCAAATGACTTATAGTTCTATAAGTACTAAAAGGCTTCCTTAGCTATGGAGAATACAAGCTTAAAAAGAATTTGCACAAATACCGAAATTACATAAAATTTCAAAATCAGCTGGACAGTTAAATAAATTTGCTCCAATTGAGGTCCAGTTGTTAATGTTTTGCCTCCTAAAGAGATGATTTTCATATGTTACCTTGGATGATCTCTCATAAACCTCCTCTCCCTCCACATTCCTGGCCAAACCAAAGTCACATATCTTGCACACCCCTTTACGGTCTATTAGAATATTACGGGCAGCGAGGTCACGGTGTATTATCTGTTCAGGGACAAGTAAATTTCATTAATGAATGTAAGTAAATCGTAGGAAGATTGCTAATCCCACACATCTTTGACTTTAATAGAGAGAGAATCGTTTTTTTTAAAATTAAGTTTATTAAATAGTTTTAGCATTTTCAAAATCTGTATAATGTTTTAAAATGTCTGAATATTTAAATTGGATTAAATTAAAGTGCTTAAATTGTGGGTTAAATTTTTTTGTACATTTAGTGAAGACAGGTGCTCCATCCCCTTGGAGATTTGGAGGGCATAGCTGTTGAGATCTTTGGCTGTGGGGGGTACGAGTTCCTCACTGTTAGTGGCCTGCTGGGAGGGACGGAACTTTCTCAGGTACTGCTGCATGTTACCTCCAGGAACATACTCCATAATGATATACATGGGATCTGCAATTCAAAAGGAAAATATTTTCTGAGTTATTAATCAAAAAAAAAAAAATCAGTGAATACATTTGAAGTTTTAGCAGCTACTTTAGGTGTATGGAAAATACTTTTTCATAAATAATAAATTTTCAGCACATTCAGAATACTCTATACTTTTACTATTATATTCAGGATACCCCAGACGTTAAGTATATGTAGACTTTCACAACGCTCAGGATATGAATACTTTTGTCATATTCAGAATACCCTAGGCTTTCATTGTATTCAGAATATTCTAGCCTTACAAAGATAGTAGAGACCTACCTTGCTGGGTACAGCAGCCAAGGTAATCAACAACGTTAGGATGATGTGGAATCTTTCTCATAATTTCTAATTCCTGATACAAATCTTCCTTTTCTGCATCAATTGCACAATCTGTTTACAAAAACAAGAAATACAAGACTTTTGTTTTCTTTCATTGTTCGTATTTCTTTGATTAGCAATTTTATTGCATTGTTCTATCATTCATATATTCCTTAGCATACCGCGTATAGTTTTTACTGCAACCATTTCCCAGTCTGAATTTCCATTGATATTTAAAGCACGAGCCATCATGACCTTCCCAAAACGACCTTGACCTAAATCAATGCCAAGCTGCAGACGTTGCCTGGGAAACTCGTCACTAGGAAGGACGCATTTCTTCAGATCCTCAAAGTAAGAGTTCTAAACAAAATCACGACAGTTTTAATTGATTACTAACTCAACAAATACTAAGTATCTAAGGTTATTCTCGTTAAGATAATTAGTAATAGCGCTGGTATAATTATTGTCCTTGCTTCATGAAAAAGGATTACACCCAAGAATGAAATTTATTTCTGTGTATGTAAGGGAACAATTAAAGAACAACATACCAGCTTCACTGTGCTTTCTCCACTCGATTGGTAGGCCACATTGTCCTGGAATATTTGTTTCGTAGAAGCATTGTCCTATTTGAGAAAATAAAAGAAAGGGATTTAAAATTATAAAAATATTGATATAAATTTAATTAATTAGTATTAATAGTATATATAATATGATGATAAGTATTATTAATTAGTATTGTGATACCTGTGCACCGTATATTTGTTATATCCCTATAAATTTTATATAAAGCAAATGCGCCTACATTTTTGATATCATTTGGACTGGCTTTTATAGTCAAACATCAAAAACCTTGGCCTTCTTATGGCAAATAATTTCCGGCGTTACCTAAATACCTTAACTAAATGCATTTAAAGATGCTTTCAAATTTACCAATGCATGGACAAGTGAAGAGTTAAAGAAAACGGTATTTGAATGAGGCTGGGCAAGATATGATTTGTTGGGCCTTAAGCCAAATATAAAAATCTAGCCCCATGCCTTTGGCTTTGGGCAGAATTTCGTTTACAGGTCCAACAAATCATATTACCCTCATTCTTAGTGTTTAAATACCGTTGAATGAAGTAATATAATAATAGAAGAATTATATACTGCTTAACTGTGTAAATGAAGAGACAAATGTAGATGATCTTACAGAAGATTCAAACTTTCTCCTCCTGAACCACGCTAGTGTCAATATGGACAATATGAGAACGAGCAGGACAGCCGAGGCAGCCCCGATTATAATGTACAGGTCCGAGTCTTCTGTCTCATCATCATTGCCTGATCCTGATAACCCGGATACAGCTGTAAAAGAAATATTCAGGAAAACTTTATATTTATAGTAAAATAGAACAGAGCGAGTATTCTTGATTCGTGACGTCAGCATCAAATGCCAAATGAGAAACACCGGACATAACTATAAAAAGTGAAGCAATTTGTTCGAAAATCGAATGTAAGATAACTAAATTGAAACTGACCCAGGCATGCGTAGCTGTTTGATGTGTCTATGACGTAACCGTCTCTACAGGTACAAGTGTAGGCACCGGCGGTGTTCAGGCATATGTCGGCACATGGTTTCTTGTTTGGCAAGTTACACTCATCAATATCTACAGAAAGGAATACATATACTCACATATGTTGCAAGCCATCACTCTATGAAGATCTATTATTTACATCTGATATAGACATTGTATAGCCTCGTTTTAGCAGTAATACTACCAATGCAGGTGCCGTTCTGGAACAAGTAGCCGGACCCACAATCACAGCTGTAGCCTCCCATAGTGTTGATACAGTTAGCTGATCCACATATTTGAGGATCATAACTACACTCATCAATATCTACAATACACCAAGAAATCAGGTTACGTTTTCATTCTTTTATTTGACGGTTTAAAGCCTTTTAGCAATATTGTTAGTTATATTGTTGTGTACACTTAACCAATTTTGACAGGGACAAGATTATTTACGAAACACTACACAATACACTACATGATATACTGTATAATATACTACACAATACACTACATAATACACTACATAATGCACAATACCCAACTTAGTACACTGCATAATATACTACACCTTACACAACACAAAACAACTACATGATATACTACACAATACACTGAATAATAAACTACATAATACACAATGCAATACACTACATAATACACTATAATACATATTTGGATTGTCAACATTGAAGACAAAGTCATTTTCAGACCATCTATTATTCACCATGACTTATTCTGTTTCATATTTATTTAATATTTAAGATATTTTCACAAATGTTTTTTAATCAATATTTTTTTTAGTGGTGGGAAAACAAAATACAGCTACATGTATATACTCAGTTAAGTAAATGTTTTTCAAATACTAAATTAATACTTAGTAGTGCAAAGTTAAGAATTACGATTAAATATATCATATAATTTTGAAAATTCTTGCCTTGAATCATTTGTACAGCGATTCCTTGACCATAAGAATTATACACTTTGCAGGTGTATACCCCAAAGTCAGACACTTCTACAGATTTAATGTTTAATACCATGTCCAGTTGATATTCATTGTGATAAACCACAAACTTGTGTAGTCTACAATGAAGCGAAGATCATACAGGTGAAACTGAAGCTATAATCAACACAAACAAAACACGAAACTAACATATTAAAAGGCATTTTTAGCTCACCTGAGCCGAAGGCTCAAGTGAGCGTTTCTGATCAAAATTTGTCTGTTGTCTGTCGTCGTTGGCATTGTTGTCGTTGTAAACTTTTCACAATTTCATCTTCTTCTCCAGAACTACTGGGCCAATTTCAACCAAACTTGGCACAGAGTATCAGTGGGTGAAGGGGGTTCAAGTTTGCTCAAATGAAGGGCCACGCCTTCTTCCAAGGGGAGATATTCATGAATTCATGAAAAATTAATGCCATCATTTAAAAAAAAAATCTTCTTCTCAAGAACCACTGTGCTTGAAAATATGAAACTTATATGGAAGCATCCTCAGGTAGAGTAGATTCAAGTTTCTTCAAATCATGACCCCCGGGGGTAGGGTGGGGCCACAATGAGCGATCAAAGTTTTACATAGGAATATATAGGAAAATTCTTTAAAAATCTTCTTCTCAAGAACAGCAAAGCCATGATTGGTCATATTTATATGGAAGCATCCCCAGATAGTGTAGATTCAAGTTTGTTCAAATCATGACCCCCAGGGGTAGGGTGGGGCCACAATGGGCGATCAAAGTTTTACATAGGAATATATAGGAAAACTCTTTAAAATTCTTCTTCTCAAGAACAGCAAAGCCATGAATGGTTAAATTTATATGGAAGCATCCTCAGGTAGTGTAGATTCAAGTTTGTTCCAATCATGACCCCCAGGGTAGGGTGGAGCCACAATGGGCGATCCAAGTTTTAAATAAGAATACATAGGAAAAATCTGTAAAAATCTTCTTCACAAGAACAACAAAGCCATGATTGGTCATATTTACATGGAAGCATCCTCAAGTAGTGCAGGTTCAAGTTTGTTCCAATCATGACCCTGGGGGTAAGGTGGGGCCACAATGGGTGATCAATGTTTTACGTAAAATACATAAGAAAAATTTGTAAAAATCTTTTTCTCAAGAACAGCAAAGCCATGTGTTTTTTTTAATGGGTGCATCTTCAGGTAGTGTATAATCAAGTTTGTTTTTAAATCATGACCCCCAGGGGGTAGGGTTGCGCCACAGTAGGCGATCAAAGTTTTACATAGGAATACATAGGAAAAAGCAAGCCTTTTAAAATCTTCTGATGAAGAACAGCAAAGCCATGATTGGTCATATTTAAATGCAAGCACCCTCAGGTAATGTAGATTCAAATTTTGTTCAAATCATAACCCCCCAGGAGAATAGAGGGGCCATAACAGGAGATCATAGTTATACAAAGGAATACAAATGATATATCAATAAGAATTGTCTTCCTAAGAACAGCATTAGTTGTCATATTAATTCAAAAGCATCCCTTTGAAGTATAGATTGAAGTTCAAATTAACACCCCCCCCCCCCCCCCCCCCGAACCACTTTTATATCAAAACTTTTCAAGACTGAACTGATTTCTGCTTTTTCCTAGCCAGAGTGCTCAGGTGAGCGATGTGGCCCCTGGGCCTCTTGTTCAAGGTGTAGTATTTTTTTAAATTTATTATAGAATTTTACCAAAATTTAAGTGTACTTTCTCATGAAACATAAATTATGCTTTCTTTACCTATGAAATGATTCTATACATTTTCAAAATGAGCAAGAAACTTATAAATATTAGAAATGTAAATGTCATGTAATTTGACAGTTAAGTTGTAATCATTGTAGAATACCTTGAAGATGACGGCAGTATCGCGTCATCAAAGTACCACGTGAGTAATGTTGGGATCGGGCTGCTCCACACGTGACAGGTCAAGTTTTTGTTTTCTTCCACAGTGCCATTCATCATTGTGGTCTCCGCGGTCACAGAAGGACGACCTTTATTACAAAATATGAAATATTGTGAATAACAAAGGAAAATCAGGGGAAAAACCAGCCATTTTTAGACCACCTAAGTCAAAGGCTTAAGTGAGATTTTCTGATGAAAATTTGTCCGTTGTTGTCATTGTTGTCATCGTCTCGTAAACTTTTCACAATTTCATCTTCTTTTCTGGAACCATTAGGCCAATTTCAACCAAACTTGCCACAAAGCACCCTTGGGTAAAGGGAATTCAAGTTTGTTCAAATGATCAAATGAAGGACCATGCCCTCTTTCAAGGGGAGATATTTAAGAGTTTGATCACCCCTCCCCCTCCACTTGAGGGTAGGTTAATTGAGGCCACAATGGGCAATCAAATTTTTACAAAGGAATAAAATAATCTTCAAAAATCTTCCCAGGAAAAACAATGCATGATTAATCATATTTATATGAAAAACATCCTCAGGGAGTATAGATTCATTTTTGTCTAATCAAAATCCCTTGGGGTGGGATGGGCCCACAAAGGGCTATCAAAGTTCTACATAGGAATATATACATATGAAAAATCTTTAAAAATCTTCTTTTAAAGAACACTAGTGGCATATATTATTAGTCATATTAAGATGAAAGCATCCTCAGGTAATGTAGATTCAAGTTATTATAAATCAAGACCCCAAGGCCCGGGGTTCCATAATATGTGATGAAAGTCTAACATAGGGATTTATAGAAAAGAAACTTTAAAACCTTTTTCCAAAGAGCAGCGAACCCACGATTTAAGTCATATTTATTTGGAAGCATCCTCAGTTAATGTAGATTCAAGTTTGTTCAAATCATGACTTCCGGGGGTAGGGTTTTATATAGGAATTTACAAGAAAAAAATGCTTAAAAACAATAGGGTCATAGTTTCTCAGGAAAGCATTGTGGCCCATGGGCTTCTTGTTTAAAAATATCTAAAAATGCATAAGGTTGACAAAAACTATAGTACAGGATTTTGGTCACATTGTCTTATTCTCTTTAAGGAATCAACCTTTATTAGATCTTGTTTTTTTTAATATATCATTTTACCTGAATGACATTAATTGGGTATTTTACGTCTGTTTTATCTTTGTATTTAGCAGATCTATATTGTTACGAGTATATAAATAACGAATATGATAACAAGGCTTTGCAGTATTATTATCATGAGTACGTTAAGAATTACATCTGTTGATATTGCATCTATTACAAATTTTGTACTAGTCTCTAACCTTGTACAGTGATATTAATATGATCATGGTAAATTTTATCATTCAGGTCGATGCCACACATGTATGTTCCTGTAAAATTGATGGTGAGGCTGTCTGCCATAAGGTTAAAGAAGATCCCTGTCGCGTTAAATATATAGTAGGATCTTAGACGGACATCTCCAACCATGTACTCGTCCTCTGCTCTCAGGTGAACTTCATTGCCCGTGATACTACGGATCAGCCACATCATCTATAAGATACAAGTACTTCTATAATATCAACCACATTATCAGATACATGACAAGAATTTCTATAAAAACAACTATATTATCTGTAAGACACAAGGATTTCTACAATATCATCTCCATCATCTGTAATACGATATCAACTCTATCTTCTGTAAGATACAAGGATTTCTACAATATCATCTCTTTCTTTTGTAAGATAACAATATCAACTCTATCACCTTTAAGATTTAAGGATTTCTACAACTTAATGACACAAGGTTTTCTATGATATAACACATCATCCGTTATTTACAAATATTTCTATCATACCAATGCATTGCAAGAATACTCATAAAGTATACTGATCAATAATTTTCGATAGCTATGCAAAAATATATGTTTCTAAGATCTTGCATAGTTTCCCGAATTAGCCCTTTCACGATAACTGCAGCTCTGCTTTCTCGAAGGGCAAGTTTAGCGAAGGTTATTTTTATAATAGATAATAAAATGAAGTTTATAAAACAATAGTTGTTACATTATATTTCACCAAACTTCATCATTTCGTCCTGAAAAGAAAGGTACCGCAGTTATCACGAAGCTGTCTATTCAACTTTACTATTTAAAATGTATTTAGATGGAATACTTGGCAGTTTTTGTAAAACACATGCAAACAAAGGGAAAAAAAATAAGTGTCACACCAAAAAAACATTTGTATTACAGAGTGAGTAGAAAAGCTTAATTCATTTAACTGCATATAAAGGCTACTAAAAAAAATCATATGGACCCTATTTCAATATTCTAAAAGTTCTAAGCAGCGCAATTTCTGCTCGAAACTGTTAAAATAAAACACCAAACTGTGTTAATCTTTTTTCAGTATCTAAGTTTACCCTTGATCCATCAGCAAACTATGAATATAGAAAAAAGATGAATGTCTTCCCATTTAGATTTAGGTATATAAACCCCTACTCCAATATAGGCTTAGGAATTAAAGTAAGAGTTTATTATTTAGGAAGGAAAATTACCATGGGTAGTTTATCAAATCCCTCGGCCTTGCAGCATAGTTTGAGGGGTTGGATACCCTCCACGTTGATTTGAGATTGGGAGGGGTAGATAAAGGAGATCTTCTTGTCCGTGGTTATCTCAGCCATAGTTTTGTTTCTTCCAGCTGTAAGTATTGTGTTCAGTATGTTATAAAACGTAATGAATTCATTTAACAATGCTTACTTTTTCAGACGTGGATTAAAAATAAAATACTGTACCTAACTTTGTACAGTTATGTACATTTTTCGTCTAGTGTTATAATTTCACCTGTTTTCACAGAGTTGCAGAATGAATGAAGAAGAAAAAATCCGTACAATTTCATTAGTTTTACCTTTTACTTCTATGTTTCCTGTATCTGAACCATGCGCATTGGTGACGACACAGGTGTAATTGCCTACGTCATCATCCTGAAGCTTTGAGATGTAAAGACAAAATTCTCCACCTATCTCGTCATATCGCTTCAAATAGGTTTTATATCTAAAAGGTAAGATTATTTGTTAAAATTTGTAGACTTTTTCGTTATATCATCGTTATTTTTCTCTAATATCTACAGCAAAGTGTTTCTACGTGTATCTATGACAATTTGACAATTCTGAATAAATTATGGTAAATATATATATATATATATATATATATAACTCTGATTTAAGGACTAGGGAGACCAGACCATTATATATGGCTTAAGGGGACAATATACAGATTTTTTAAATTTGCTTTTTTCTAAAAAGAAATACCAGATCAAAGATCTATAGAACACCATTTAGTCGACTCTTGCTTTATTTTTTCATAATAAATGCCTCCTAAAAATATATGAAAAAAATGGTCTCCTTAATATTCTATGTTTCTCTCATATGACTTAAGGAGACCAGTGTATATTTTTTATAAATATAACTTGTGGTTTAAGTAGACCATTTTTCTTTCATAGTAATTTCACTTATTATGCATTAATTAACATATTGTTTCCAACCAGAATAGTTGCGGATGGTCATTAGTCAAGGTCAGCAGAAAGATATTTGTGCTAATGTGACTCAACATGATCAGTACAAAACTTTGAATTAAACTAAAGTCATTGCACAAGTGACTTAAACGCAGTGGTTAGAGCGTCTGCTCTAGAGTAGCGAAGTAAGGAGTTGATCCTTACGTCGCAGGTTCAAATCCCACTGTGGGATGGGGAGACCGGTCCTTCAGATGAGACCGTATAAATCGAGGTCCTGTGTCGCAGTAGGTGCTGGCACGAAAAAAATCCCTCGATGCTCAATGGCCGTAAGTTCCGAGTATAGGACAAAATTTGCAGATCTCCACTGGCATGTGGTGGTGTCTCCATATGAGTGAAAAAATCTTGAGAGGAATGTTAAACAACATACAATCAATCAATATATAGAGAGTATAAGCCCAGAGTAGCTTGTTCTGATATCCACATTTAACTCTCAATGCTGTCGCCCACATGGTGCAGTGGAAAGAGCCTATGCTCTAGAGTCGTGGAGTTAGTTGATCCTTTTGTCACATGTTTGAATCCCACTGTGGGACGTAGAGACCAGTCCTTCGTACAAACAGAGGTCCAGTGTCGCAGTAGATGCTGGCATGAAAAAAATCCCTCACTGCCCATTGGCCCTGAGTGCCGAGCATAGGTCATTTGCAGCTCTCCATCGGCAAGTGTTGGCATATGAGTGAAAAATTCTCCAGAGGGACGTTAAACAACAAACAAACTCTCAATGCCCAAAACAGTTTAACCTAAAAGTGAATGCAGACACAGATTATTCTTTAGACCAAGTATAGTATACTCCATATTGTTTTGTTGAGGACACAAAGTTCACAGTGGACATCAAGTAATTTTTCCTGCTATTTATACCCAGCTTCTTTTAAACCATAAAGTCACCGAGTGCATTCGCTTTCCAACTAATTGATGAAGTTCTGACCTATGCCTATATTTGTTTAAATTCTTTCTGATTTAAGAATACATTTGACCAGTTGAAACCAAGAGTACATGTACTACATAAAATTTCAAGGTTGTGATTAAGATTCAGTAAAAGTTATGCCCCATCCAGTATAGCAATATGTGGATGCCATGTTCAATATACCCGGTACATATTTGCTATCATTAAACTTGCAGAGACCATGAATCAAAATAATTCAAATACTTAAAAATCATTTTATTTTTACTGCTAGTCAAAATACAGTCACTCAAGCATATCCTTTGTTAATTTGAAAAAAAAAATGATAGTTTAACATTTATTATTAATACCATACCAAAGCACAAGATAGTGCACTTCTTACATAATCCAATGATTCATGCTGTGATTTTACCTATTTAGATGTTTCTTATTTACAGTTCAGTATACATGATATACCAGTACAATGTGACACTAACCTAGTATCAATTAAATGGATCATTACTATTCTGTTTTTAAGAAGTTTGCAGGGTAAAAAGTATAATAAAATAAAAATGTTGATACATTTATTGATTGCATATGCTAAAACCTTTTATAAAATATCAAACATTGTATCATAACAGCTTTTACAAATTAATTCAATACATTCAAAGGTACAAAAATCAAATTATTTTCATCCATATTCAGTTGAACAACAGCTACATCTATTATATAAAATGTATGGTAGTTGGCACTGATGGTATATATATCATATTCAGTTGAACAACAGCTACATCTATTATATAAAATGTATGGTAGTTGGCACTGATGGTATATATACAGACCTGTCTACCCTTTTCATTGCGAGGGTGTAATTTCAAGACTCAATTAAGTGGAATTTATGAGGTAAAGGCGTAATCCTTTATGTTTCCCTACTTTGATGTTTTGCAAAGCTACTATATTGTCTGAATCAACCTGAAATTGTACATCATTGAACAAAGCAAGCATGAATGTTTCTTTTTCAAATCATTTATAGACAAAAAGTCCCTTTGTTGTAAAAACTGGTATCGTAATTGCAATCAAATCAAACTTATTTATCTAACATTCCTAATGAACGTTTGGAAAAAAATTAGCAAATCACATAATTCAGAGTTTCAATCGCATATTAATACAAATTCTACATTATTCCGCTATTTCGATTTTGTTTTTCTTACATTTACTTGTCTCTATGTTGTTCTTAGCAATGTAAGAATAAACCGAATTGAAAATTAAACTGACTTTACTTATTGCACACATCATTCAAAAGTTTTGTTTCCTTAATTTTGGCATGCAACCCGTTTAAAAGGCATAACTACAATGTGTATTACGTATGTTGTTTGTATCATAAATAATCATATCGTGAAGAACTGAAACCCTCCATTAATTAGTATTAATTACCTTCTCGTTTTCATTAAGGAAAGCCTTTACTTTAACTCCAAAGTTAGCCTTTCATTAAGTTGTTTATGAAAAAATATTTAAAAAGCGTAAAATTAGTTTTCATGGCGTAACAGCGTAATTTTGTGGTAAAAAGCGGAAAAATTACGCCAAAAGCGGAAGGGTAGGCAGGTCTGTATATATCCTGAGCAAAGAAAAAACATACCTAATCAAAGAATACAAAGCTCACTTCTATAAATGTTATCTACTAGTAAGGCAAAGTCTCACTTAACAAACACTCTGGTAATGTATATCACCTGGATCCAAAATCTATGCAAGTTGGTCTGGGTTAGATTTAACTGCTCAATAACCCTGAAAATGTATGTTACATCCAGCATCAGAAGCAGGATACATCATCTATGTTTACTGATCACCAAAGAGTATATTGTTACTTTGAATGAACCTTCTCTAAAAAACTGGTCATTAATCCAGAATATCTAAGTCAAATCAAGGATTGGTACCCTGAAACATTTACATGTACATACATCATCTTTGCAGGTTTGTTCAACATAGAGTTTATAATTACATGAGAATAGGACTGCTCAAAACACTTAATCTTGTGGAGTCCCCCATGTGGCGCAAAGGATAGAGTTTGTAATCTAGAGTCGCGAGTAAGGATTTAATCCTTAAGTCTCAGGTTCAAATCCACTGGGGATGTGGGGACCAGTCCTTCAGATTAGACCATATAAACCGAGGTCCCGCCTAGCAGTTGATGTGGGCACAAAAAAGATCCCTTACTGCTCAAGGCCCTGAGTGCAAAGTATAGGTCAAATTTTGCAGCTCTCCACCAGCAAGTAGTGGCATCTCCATATGGATGAAAAATTCTTGAGAGGGATGTTAAACAACAAACAAACAAAAACAAAAAAAAACACATGAGGAAAATGTAGATCAGATCAAGCATCTGAAGTAAATCTGTTAATGTGCTTTAATCCATGCAAGTTTGTCCAGGTAGAGCTTAGGAATGAACCTTGCTCCTTAAATTTTAACTGGGATGACAATGCTAGGTATATAGTGAGAACTCATCTAGACTGTCCAGAAAATCTAAAAAATATTTAGCAATTTCTTACTTGCATGATTTAAAAAAATCTGCAATCTAACATTATTTCAAAAAAAATTTCAACACATTTTCTAATTTTCAACAAATTCAATGCACTATGAGACGATTTAACATTTCTTAACCACATACACTGTACTTAAAGTGCAATATACATGCATTATACTGTATGTTAAATCTTTACAGTTTTCTTCAAGTACTCTAATAGTATATGAAATATGAAGATTACCAACAGTGATCAAGCTTTAAAGTCCATTGAAACAATACATAATTAGAGCAGAGCAAACAGACTCTAAAAACACCATGTGCAATGGAGGAGAAAGCATTTCCTGCCATGTGCTCCTTGACATGATTGGGCAAATGGAAAAATCCACAAACAATTCAGTGTAAACAATTTTGATGAAAAACATTAGTCAACATTCAACTTAATGATCGATTGAATTTGCTATAACAATTAATTTACACGTAAGTGTACACACATGTATGCATACTAGATGAATTATTTCACAATATCCAAAATTGGACAATAATAGTTTCTAATCTAGCTAGACAACAGGAAATTTTCATTATTACTTAAATTACATGAAACTATTGAAGTCTATGAGATAAAAATTATATCTAAAAATTATACACATTTTAACAAGTGTTTACAGTTTAGTGTATTTATTATACACAAATGATGACTTAGTAATTATGACTTACTAGTAAAGTCCACAGATTGACTTCCAGATTTCAACTCAAAGGCTTGAAGATTTTTAGTTGCTCTTTTATCATTTTCTTTTTCACTGAATATTTTCATTTTTATTTTCAAGACGCTGTTTTTGTTGAGGTCTTTTAGCAGTTTGATGCAATCCAAGAACTCCAAGGGCAATTTAAGAACTCCTGAATTTCTTTCTTACCTGGAAAAAATAAAAATTTAAAAGTTTAAAATATATTCAACTTACATGAAGAAAACTAGTAAAACTTGTGATAATGTAATAGACCTTTCAGATGTTCCAAAGCAGCTACATGTATCTAATTAAAAAATATAAAGTTTGAAGTATTTAGAGTCACCTGTATTCTGAACAAGCATAAGGGATATGTGTATTTGACAGACAGATGAATGAATAGACTGATCACTATAGAGCACCTTAGTCTTTTTTCAATAATCTTTACATTAGTGAAAATCAAATAGGAACTAGAGTGTTTCAAGGAATGTATATGTCACCTGCTAGGTATCGTCATTAAAGAGGTAAATAAATCTAAGAGTGGTCAGCTATTAATTTAATATTAGCATGGAGGTTCAAGCATTTGCCTGCAAGGAAAAAAAGGACCCAAAAGTATTTAAAAGACTGGGATAGAATCTGGCAATCAGAGAAAATATGGTTCCCCAGTCCTCAAATGAATAATTTAATTAAAATTATGAGGAATAACTATTTATCATTTTATTAATACACATGTAGGTGCTTCCAACAATCCTCGGAGGAAAGGAATTTCAGACTGTCTTTACTTAATTGTCACTTTGTCAGTCAACACGATTCATTGTGGAATACTGATCCCAATGTATTTTCATAGTATTTAAATATAAGTTTGTGTGGTAACTGAATTTCATACAGTTTTAAAGTATAGTATCATGAGCTCAAAAACATATATAAATGCTAATTATCAAAACCCTGCCTCTCAAAATTTTGGAGATATAAGGTGTGACAGACGGACAGACAGATACCAGGTAAAGTGATCTCTAAGTGTCGTTCTGCTCTGCAGTTGACACAAAAATGAAAGTTAGTCAATTTTTGACCATGTATATCACTTCAGTGATGAAAGGAATGCTGAAGTGGTAAGTCTATCCTAATTATTTGAAAATACGGCAACCCCATTGGTCAGAATATAATACATATGCTGTCCAGCCTTAATTTCATTGGCATAAAGCAGCACAAAATACGATTTAATTGGATGGTGCAACTTGTTTTTCTAGCGGGCGCTGTTGCAACCCTGGAAAAGAAAACAGGACTGGGGCTTGCCCCTAGGGGGCACTTACTGACCGGAAGTAAACAAACAACAGAAATAGCAATACACTAGAAATATGTCCATAGGACATGTATGCCCGCCGAGTGTATAGTAATGCAACATGAAATTTTGTGTTAGTGTATGAAGTTTGATGAGAATATCTTGAAAAGTTTCTTTAAAATTGAAATTGAGATCTAAAAAAAATGGATATAAATGATAAATTCTCACCAAATTATGTATAGATGCATAGCCTTAGATATCAATATTTTAAATGGTTTTAAAACCATGCAAAATGCAAATTGAAGGAAAGTGAGGTCAAGGTCACAGGAAAGGTCAAAAGTTTTTGAAATAGTTGAATAGGTCTTACTAATTATATATGTATCAGCATATTAAGTTTGATAAAGAATATCTTGAATGATTTCTTTAAAACTGAGCTAGTCACAAGCGTGGCGCCATGGTTAGAGCGTCTGCTCTAGAGTCGCGAAGTAAGGAGTTGATCCTTATGTCGCAGGTTTGAATCCCACTGTGGGACATGGAGACCAGTCCTTCGGATGAGACCTTATAAATCAAGGTCCCATGTCACAGTAGGTGCTGGCATGAAAAAGACCCCTCACTGCTCAATGGCCATGAGTGCAGAGTATAGGACAGAATTTGCAGCTTTCCACTGGCAAGTGGTGGCGTCTCCATATGAGTGTAAAATTCTCAAGAGGGACTGCAGATTACCTGTAATGATTGACCAAAATCCCTACTAGGCTTTAAACTCTTCATTCTTGACCTGTATTTCGTCAAATAAGATTTTTCCAGTTAATTAAGGTAAAATTACTAATTGTTAAAACTGTAAATGATTTTTTTTTTTTTTTTTTTTTTTACCTGAGCCAGATTTTTACTTTTCTTAGAAGTGTCTGTATTTGACTGTTGGTTCCACCTATCTCAAGAAAATGATCTGTAAAAGTAAATGTTAGAAATCATAATCTGTTCTCTATCTACTATAATCATGAGAAAAGGTGTTGAAAATTAACAGATGGAGATAAAATCAGCAGTCATATTAAAGGCTTTTTTTCAATAATCAATTTATTAGTGAAAATCATAAAAGTATTAGGCAAAAAGGAAAAATAAATGTTGTCATTAATTAACCTTGCATATCTCTACAATTTTCTGATAAGAAAATTATACCCGATAGATGCAATATAATCACCCTTTGCCTGCCCCTAAATTATGATTATTTAAAACAAGGTTCTTTTAGAGGTGCCTAGGGTCGAAATTCATAGAAAAAAACCTACAAAAAACGTGAAAACCTATTTCTATCATACTGGTTTATATTTATTACAAATGTCCTCATAGTCAGCATAGCCAAGAACAATAGACCGCAGACTCTCACCATGAACATTTTTAGTGTCCTGGTTCGAAACCATTTGTTGGCACATTTTTATTTTTTCAAACTTTTTACCTGTATAAACACTAAAGAACGAGTGCACTTATGGGCCCCGGTAAATTAAATTAAGCATAATTTTCCATCTCAGATCATTAATTGATATCTAAACCATAAGATTCAACAAATTTTGAATATACAAAGAGCAAAGCCATACAATGTGGTAGGGGTCAGCTGACATTCGTGATTTTCTATAGTAAATCGAGGACGGTCATTCATTTCAAAGCTTTTGTTTATTGTCAGCCTAACACTGTACAAACTTGTGCGATTGACAAAAAATGCATTATACATTTATAAAACTTGTGTGAAAGGAGGAAATTTGTACATGATTAGGCTTGTACTTAAAATATTAAAAATGTATGAAAAGTTCAATGTTTTTCCTATAACAAGCAAGAGCTATTTACCTGTATGACCTATGTTGAACCCACCCGTGGAATAAATTATTTAAAATACTGGTAGTCACGTGAGTTCTACCCCGGTAAACATTCCTCAAAGATGCTCACTGTAAAACATAACCACGTTCTGTATCATTATATCGAAGTCAAGCCGCATAGAGATGTTTGTATGTATTTGGTTTTAGGAACACGAGATGGTTAGGAGAGTTTAGTGTCGTTAAAATGTCATCATAAATAAAAGTGTCAACCATTTTAACATTCATGCAAGACAATGGTACTGGTATTGAAAGCCACCTAAATACACTTTTTTTCATTTTAAAATTTAAAGGAACTAATGTTAATACTTATTGTATTATTTCAAATGCAAGCATGCAAATTTCTTAGTTTGATCACTATGGATACAGGTATCTATACAACTTCATTCGATTTTTTTCTCGGGTAAAATAGCACAAGAAGTATCATTCGGCATACGCGCCTGTCAATGATCCACCATCAGATTGTTCAAGTGTCTGATTTAAATGTCTCCTCCCCTTGATTTAAATAAACGAAACTCAAAATAGGTTCGGTACGACTTTTCCGGATTTGGGGTATCTATAGACATTTAAAAAACTTCATTTGTTTCAAATCCATGCTGATTTAGGTGATGTTTTAATGTGATTTTAATTAGAAATGTCCACTTGTGTTTAACTATTACCAAAAGAGAACAATTTGGTAATACATTCTAAAGTAATATGGCACTGAAAAAGGACCCATTAAGCATTGCTTAAGTGCACTTGTCCTTTGATTTTTTAATACAGGCTTTTGCATTTTACTTAATATATTTTCTTCCTTAAATGCATGTTTGGTGTTGATATAAAAGACATCTATGGAAATGCAGATCATAAATTCTCTTTAACTAAACGCAATCAACCGGAACTAAACCTCATTGTAAGCACACTTTGTTCGAGGACATGAATCATTCACTTTGTGTTACTCGATACTCCAGGTGTCATGAAAAAAAATCATGCCGAGCAATAATTGCTGTGTTTGCCTTTCAAGAACATAATGACATGTAATAGTACTGTTGTGCCAGTGGGAGAGATACTGTTCTATGCAGAGTAGATGCAGTTCATTCCTCGGGAAAAATGTGTGCATTGGCGATATGTTATGCTAAAAATGCATGAGGGTTTTCAGATTAGAAAAGAATGTGGTAAGGTCAGTTAAGGTTTTATGTCCCATTGCCATTACTCAGTCAGACATCAAGAATGACCCTCAAACAAAGGATGTATCATTCTGTAAATACTGAGGTAGGATCACATGAACACACAGTTGAGTAGAATGAAATATATCGAGATAACAATCAGTATTCAAGCTCAAAAGCCCATCAAAAAATACAAAATAGGAGCAGAGCAAATACGGACCTCCAAAACATCAGAGGTGGGATCAGGTGCCATGGAGGAGTGAGCATCCCCTGCAGACTAGTCACACCCGCTGTGTGCTCCTTGTCACGACTGGGAAACAATAGAAAATTCCATACACAATTCAGTGTGTAAATAATGGCCTAACAATAAGTATGAAAAACGTCAGTCAGCATTTTACTTAATGATAAATTGTATTTGCTGACAAGGTCATTGTATCGACCATAGAACTTACAAAATGATGACTTTAAACAAGACTGCTGATATTCTTGTTTCAGCAATTTGTTTGTCAATAACTTACCTCCTTTTAAAAATTGTTCATACATAGAGGATGCTCTTGTGTATCGAATCAACTGAGAGATATAAACCCCGTATGCAGGTGATGAAGGTATATTTTAGGAATGACTCTAATTCTTGGCCAAATTATTCGAGTATAACCTGGTTTGGGTCAGTTTACGCTTTATAATCCGCGAAGCGGATTATAAAACAGCGTAAACTGACCCAAACCAGGTTATACTCGAATAATTTGGCCAAGAATTAGAGTCATTCCTTATAATTTAATTCTAAAATCATTAAACAACTGTGTGTGTAAAATTTCGTTGCTTTTTATTAGTTCAAATTTGCCGCTCAATAATACAACCCTAGTAACGGAAGTGATGGGAAGCAAGGGGAGGTAAAAACTGATACATAGTCCTAGCAGCCATGTTTTTTGTTTGCATGTGGTAAGATCCGAGTTATTGTTTGAAGCTAAAGGTACATTTATTAAATCTGGAATTTTCCATGAATCCCGAGGACTGGAAATGAGAGCATTGCATGGATACAGACGATTCAGCTGGTTGTCAGGGGGGTGTGTCCCCATACCAAACCAGGTTATACAGAAATAATTTGTGTTCCTTTTTGGATATTAACCAATCAGAGGCTAGAATACAAACACAATTAAATTATTGCTGAATAAGTAAGGGAAGTTGATGATTGAAAAGTTAAAGTCATCACGTTTATCATAAAGCTTGGTTGTTAGATTACCATTAATGTAGAACTAAAGCAATACATGAGAAACAAGAAACTACACACGTGACCTAAAGTCAGTGACCGGAACATATATCGGTAAGCTTTTTCTAAAGACTGTACCAATATTGGTCCTATAGGTCATCTCATATTTTTAACTAGAAGTGTTCCTTTGATATACTATATTTTACTTAATTTCTATAGACTTACTATACCCTGAAAAAAAAAAAAGGAAAACAGGAACTACCTGTTTAAATGACCCCGACCACCGAGGTTAATCTAAAGTTTGTCCCTGCCTACCTGAAAAACAGACTGCCTCGGGCAGTCAGTAATTTCCAACTCTGGTTATGAGATGCTAAATGTTAAATATTTACAATTAAATGCTTATATTTACATTTTTAAATTCATCATAGATTGAGAAAGTCGATAAAATCATTTCTATATTAAGTCTGTATACTGTATAGGGGGAAAATAACTCGCGGTGTTAATATTCGCTATATTCATGGTGTGAATAAATCCGTGAATTCAAGAAACAGTGAATAAGTTTTCAATAACCTACATGTTATATTTGGAAATTTGAGAATAGACTACGATAAGTAAATATACGTGCAGTACATGGTCATTTTAGTAATTACGAATCATACTTGTCATTCAATTATTTTAATTATCACGCTTAACATTGATTTAGATCACCCAGCAGATAATAACCTGTATTTGTAAAAAAAAAAAAAAAAAACTGTTTTAATAGCCAACGCTACATGTTTCATCAATCAAAACACTAGGGTCATGGGTTTTGAATACCCGTACGTAACTATGTTACGACGTGTATTTGTTACCTGCATTATCATGTTTTTGTCGACATTTTGGTTTTATAAAATCATTCAAATAACTATCGAACTTGCTGATGTATATATAAATCTACCCTGTTGTTCGTGAAGTGAATACATAATGCTGATTAATGCCTTCTAGCTATGCTATGGATTACCCGGTAAATGGATATAGACATTGAAGGGAGGTACATGTAACCTTAGTTATATACCAATTCCGCGAATTCAACAAACTGCGATCGTGTCAGAGGAGAGAAAAACATGAAAATTACAACCCCTGAAATTAATCCCCTATACAGTACTTCAACCGAGAAATTAGTTGAAACTGGTTCCAGAAAAGAAGCTGAAAATGTTCAATAGTTTACAGACAATACTTGACACATGATGACTGAACAAGAACAGATAGCAATAAGTACATTGTAATTTAAATGACTCAGGTGAATTATAACCTGTTCAATCTTAGATCCATCTTTTTTCTAACACGAGGGTTGATCCAAAAGTTCATGGAATTTAATTATTTCTAAAATTTTATTGTGATTTGATGAAAGCAAACAATAGGCATATTTATAATATAGAGTCATTATGCAACAATACTGGAAAATTTCACTAAGTTCCAATTACCAATAAGGTCACATGAGCTTTCTGAACACTGATAGTTGTAAAATCCGGGGGAGACTTCGAAGTAACGTGAAGTTAAGTATGTCATGTCATGTTATAGGAGCATCTCACCCTCATGTTCAATTCAACTAAGTAATTCTACAGAATATTCTGCCTTTTTCTCCTTTTTTCTCTCAAGAAAAGCCTGGGTATCCACCAATCGACTTATCTTTATATTACATTCATATTTCAAAAATACTCCCCATCTTTCCATATGATGTTCCAATTCAGTAGCAAAGTCAAGCACAGTACGTCAGCGGTCAACATCCATCAACGCTTAATTTGTCTACGAGAAAAACAGACCCTCCAAAAGCAGCCACACCATGGAAGTTCTATTGTTCTTAAATTTCTCACGCCACTGGAAAATCAGTTGCTAAATGCATTTTTCTCCAGCCTGTATCAGTAGTATACCCCTTTAAGTCAGAGTGTTCCTAAGATTTTAACAAAACTTATAACTTGACTGAAATGTGACGTTCTCTAACAATTAAAAGATGAACAAGAAATCATCAACTAATAATCTAAATATCAAGTTAAATCAGTAAAACTCTCACATACAGGTATATTAGTGGTCAAGCAATCGTAATTATGACAAAATTCTCATTTTATTTGCCACTTGGCGCAGGTTTTTTCTTATATCACGTATTAAGAATTAAAATGATAATGAACAAGTAAATGTCTCCCCTGCATTTTAAAACATCCTTTGCTATGGCAACTGCCATAGAGTTACTATCATTAAAATTTAAAATATTTTTTTATCAAAAAAATTCAACAAGTGTCTATATTCTTATTTGTAATTTTCAACCACTTTCACAAATAAATAAATAAAATAAGAAGAAATTCCATGAACTTTCGGATCAATCCTCGTACATGTCAGTCATTAAATTTATATAATATACAGTATGCATAAGGGAGACCAAATGTATTATTACTGCATTAAGGAGACCAACCACTATCCATATGTAAATCAGTATTCAACCACTTTCACTAATAAAAAAATAAAATACGAAGAAATTCCATGAGCATTTGAATCAACCCTCGTACATGTCAGTCATTAAATTTATATAATATACAGTATGCATAAGGGAGACCAAATGTATTATTACTGCATTAAGGAGACCAACTACTCTCCACATGTAAATCAGTATTCAACCGCTTTCACTAATAAATAAAAAAAAATATGAAGAAATTAGTGATGAGACATCAGTTAATTTTCATAATCGATCATCGGTTGGAATCGGTTACTGCTTCTGATGAGATTTCACCGATTATAATTGGATTTCTTCATAGTTTTGTATACAAAAAGCAGACTATTACAATAATTTTATTTATTTCTTTAACATGAATATATAAAATACATAATATATTATTTTCTTTGTTGTTTTGCTTCTTTTACACTTTCTAGACCTAAAAATATTTACAGTGGACACCCAACATGGCTGCCTAGCGGCAGAAAACGAACTTCAAAAAGTCGTGGGGGGAATTGATCACTCTATATTTAAGGTAAATGTTGACTAAGTTGCATATTTTATATCTCAAATAAAAGACACAATTAATATTTTTTGAATAAAAAGAATCAGCTGATTGATCAAACCAAAGAGCAAACACAGATTTGGCAGAAAAAAAATTCACCCGGGGGTAAATTGAATGGGTCGGTCGGGTTATTACAGGAAACAAAAATAATTTTTTTTAGGCCCTATATATGCATCTTCGGTTCTTAATCACCTCTGCTTCGTGCTAGTTGGCTAGTATCAGATGCAGATGCCATTTTCTTCCGTTAAGAAGAAATAAATTTTAAACCAGAAATGGATAATTCCGGAATGTATTGTATTAGAAGTATGTTTCCGATGATCGATTATGAAAAACTATAATCGATCATCGGAATTGGTAGCATTTTTTTGTCGACAATCGATGTTTTCTGATTATCGGTACAACACTAGAAGAAATTCCACGAACTTTTGGATCAACCCTCGTACATGTCAGTCATTAAATTTATATAATATACAGTATGCATAAGGGAGACCAAATGTATTATTACTGCATTAAGGAGACCAACTACTATCCACATGTAAATCAGTATTCAACCACTTTCACTAATAAATAAATAAAATATGAAGAAATTCCATGAACTTTTGGATCAACCCTCGTACATGTCAGTCATTAAATTTATATAATATACAGTATCATAAGGGAGACCAAATGTATTATTACTGCATTAAGGAGACCAACTACTCTCGATCCACATGTAAATCAGTATTCAAAACTTGAGATTTTGATTACCCTAATAATTTACATGTTTAGTTACATGAACTAAATCTATTTACCTTTGTCATAATGCAAGAACTGTTTTACATTCAGCCAACTTTAACATTACACATGCATACAGTGTATGCCATGCATTAGGAAGACCAGATGCATTATTTCAACATTAAAGAAACCAACTACAATGGAACAATTAGACAGTATTCCAAAATGTTCATTCCAATACCATGGTATTTTCCCTTAATTTGTTTGTATTTAGATGACTTAAATCAATTTATCTCAGCCAGAATTGGAACAAAAAAACTAATCATAAAAGCGGCCAAACACATGAACAGACAGATGGACATGATGATTCCTATGCTTATATACACCCAAAGTTGCCAAAGTAGAGCAGATGCAGTGGTTAGAGCATCTACTCTAGAGTCGCGGAGAAAGAAGCTGATTCTTACATCGCGAGTTTGAATCCCACTGTGGGACATGGAGACCCGTTCTTCAGATGAGACAGAGGTATTAACCGAGGTCCCATGTCACAGTAGGTGCTGGCTCGATAAAGATCCCTCAATGCTCAATGGCCATAAGTGCTGAGTATAGGACAAAAATTTGCAGCTCTCCACCGACAAGTGGTGGCGTCTCCATATGAGTGAAAATTCTCAAGAGGGACGTTAAACAACAAACACTATACACTCAAAACTTTGTTTGCAGAAGATTTTGTGATACATGCTTTACAAGTATATATATTGTTCATAAGGGAATAAAAATGCTATAATATATCATTAAGGAAAGCAACTGAACTTAAATGTGCACTTCTAATTGAACTAAACAAAATTACCCTTTGTCAGAATGTAGATTTATAAACAGGAAGGCTGTTTTTCTTAATTTTTTCCATGTCAGATTCAGACTGTTCTTGAAAAAATTCTGGCATACACCCTGTAAAAGTGAACAGTGCAGATAATAAAGAGCTTCTAAATAAACTGCATAATATTTAAATGATCCACTTAAAAGGGATAACAAATGCATTTAACTCCATCAAGGAGACCAACTGATATCCATATATATATAAATCAGTACATGTATTTTAATTGTGATATTTTAATATCCTAGTAATTTACATGTTTAGTTTCATGAAATAAATCTATTTACCTTTGTCCAATGACCAATGAGCACAAGCACTGATTTTTCCTCTTTTTTCTTAACGGAATCACCAGGGCCAGTCTGCGGTCCATATGATTCTGGCATATGTACACTCTGTAAAATGCATATTTGTACCATGTACAGGCATATGAACAATATTTCTATACTACATACATGCATCATTAAACTTAATAATCTTTTTTTCCCAAAATTCATTATTCATAGTGTTTTGCTGTTAGCAAAATTCAACAAAAACTATACCGTATATATACTTGCCTATAAGGTGGTCCACCTATAAGTCAGTTGTATTTTTTGAGGTTATTTTGGAGGGATTTGCTATTGACCCGCTTATAAATCAGTACAACTTTTTGCCAGAATCAATTGACAATTTCAAATCAATGCTCTGATGTTTTAACCTGGTTTCAAAATACTAATCTTTTTATGACTCACCTATAAGCTGGACATAGAGTATATACAGTACCTGCATTATACATGCATTAGGAAGACCAAATGCATTATTGCAATATTAAAGAGACCATTGTGGCAAATGAAATCAATGTATGAATTGTATTCAAAACTACGGGTGTACTAATTTGTCTGAAGTATATCATGATATAATGTGATACACAAAGACTTTAACAGGATATGTACATATACCCACATGCCTAAATGTAACAACAGGAATTATCGTTCTACAATAATTTACTGAAATTGCCAATATGAATAAACAAAAGCAAACTTTGTTTCGATTGTATGAACTTTAAGTTTTCTTTTTACACCACGGTCAGATAATCTAACTATCCCCTGGTTGGCTACTGGGACCTTCGTTAGATTGCCTTATCGGACATGATATTTACTGAAGATTTGATTTTTGGTACTGACTTTTATACTCAAAATAATGTCTTTAATTGTTTAATTTCTTGAGTTCAATATCACTTTGATGTGTTCAGTGTTTACTTTGATATGTAATGATGTGTATAAGCGTGTATTTTCGATAATTTAAATTTCTAGTACAGAAATCGTCCCCAAGCTGCTGTTTCATTATCGTGTCATAGTATCTCTGAGAGTGCATTTTATTAACACCTCCAAATCACCTGGCCTGCGTAATTAAATTTAACTACCAAAAACAACAGCTTGGGACTAATAAGGTGTGATTATCAGCAATGGTCCCATGAAGCCTGTGCTAGACCTAATGGAAACGTTCAACAGACCGTAAAATTAGCATAATGGGATTATTGTGTACTAAGGTGTGAATTCAGCGGAGCGAGAATTTGTTGGACTTCGAGATAACGCATGTGTTTATAGCACTTGGGACCGTAAATCTACTTCGAGATAAGCGAGGTATTCGAGATTTCCGTGTTCGAGATACCGGGGTTTTTTAAAATCATAAATATAATAAAAACGGCCGGGACCGTTGATTCACTTCGAGATATCCGTGGTATTCGACATACCGGTGTTCGAGGTACCGAAGTTTACCTGTATATCGATACATATCTAGATTAATGAATACATCGTATCAAAAACAAGAAGCCCATGGGCCACAATGCTCACCTGAGCACATTGGCTAGGAAAAAGCACAAATCACTTCAGTATTGAAAAGTTTAAAGGGGAGGGGGCTTGGATTTTGAACTACCTGAGGATGCTTCCATATCAATATAACAAATGGCTTTACTGTTCTTGAGCAGAAGATTTTTAAAGATTTTTTTCCTATATATTCCCTTTTTAAAAATTTGATCCCCCATTGTGGACCCTCCCTAACCCCCCCCCCCCCCAATCATTTGAACAAACTTGAATCTACACTACCTGAGGATGCTTCCATATCAATATGACTAAACTTGGCTTTTCTGTTGATGAAAAGATTTTTTCCTATATATTCCTATGTGAAAATTTGATCCCACATTGTGGCCCCACCCTACCCCTGGGGTTTATGATTTGAACAAACTTGAATCTACACTACATGAAGATGCTTCCATATCAATATGACAAAACATGGCTTTGCTATTCCTGAGAAGAAGATTTTTCAAGTTTTTTTCCCTATATATTCCTATGGAAAACTATGATCCCCCATTGTGGCCCCACCCTACCCCCAGGGGTCATGATTTGAACAAACTTGAATCTACACTACCTGAGGAAGCTTCCATATCAATATGACAAAACATGGCTTTGCTGCTCCTGAGAAGAAGATTTTTGAAGTTTTTTCCTATATATTCTTATGTAAAACTATGATCCCCCATTGTGGTCCCACCCTACCCCCAGGGGTCATGATTTGAAAAAACTTGAATCTACACTACCTGAGAAAGCTTCCATATCAATATGACAAAACATGGCTTTGCTGCTCCTGAGAAGAAGATTTTTGAAGTTTTTTCCTATATATTCTTATGTAAAACTATGATCCCCCATTGTGGTCCCACCCTACCCCCAGGGGTCATGATTTGAAAAAACTTGAATCTACACTACCTGAGAAAGCTTCCATATCAGTATGACAAGACATGACTTTGCTGTTCTTGAGAAGAAGATTTTTGAAGTTTTTTCCTATGTATTCCTATGTAAAACTTTGATCCTCAATTGTGGCACCACCCTAACCCTGGGGGTCATGATTTGAACAAAG